GATTGTGCCACTGCACTCCAGCAGAGTAGGAAAAAATATTTGTAAATCACATATCTGACAAAGAACTAGTATCTAGAATACATAAAGAACTCTCAAAACTTAACAGTAAAGAAGATAATCTAATTTAAAAATGGACAAAAGACATGAACAGACATTTCATTAAGAGGATATACAGATGGCAATTAAGCACATGAAAAGATGTTGAACATCATCAGTCATTGGAAATGTAGATTAAAACCACAGTGAGATATTATTACATTCCTCTCAGAAAGGCTTAAAATATTGACAACAGTAAATGCTGGTGAGGGTGAGAAGAGGCTGGATCACTCATCCATTGCTGGCGGGGAGTGGAAAGCGGTAGAGTCACTCTGGAAGTCTGGCAGTTCCTTTAAAAAACACACATGCATAGGACCCAGCAAGTGCACTCCTGGGCATTTATCCTAGAGAAATAAAAACTTCCTTTCACACAAAAATCTCTACATGATAGTCCATAACAGCTTTATCTGTAATGGCCCCAAACTGGAAATAATTCAGATGCCTTTCCACAGGTGAGTGGTTAAACAAACTGTATATCCATACTATGGAATGCCATTCAGCAGTAAAAGGGAGCTAACTACTGCTACAAACAATAACCTGGGTGAATCTCCATAGAATTATGTGAAAAAAATAGGACAGGCAGTGGAATAGTAACCAGCAGGGAAAATGAAAGAACTGCTGCTATGTGAATCAACAGATGGATCTCAGGAACATAATGTTAAGAAAAATGCAAGTCATAGGACAGAATATACAGTTTGAGACATTATATAAAATTCAAAAGATGTAAAACAAAAAAGTATTGTTGGAGGACACATCCAAATGTGATTAAAAAAACTCAAAGAAAAGCCACGATTCTGTATTTCCAAGCTGGGGAGAGCGGGAGGGGCAGAAACACCTGAAGGCCTCAAAAGTACCGTAATATTTGAGTGCTCCAGCCAGGTGGAGTGAAAAAAACCACTCCCAAAGGGTGATATACTGTGTAATGCCACTTATATAAGATTCTCAAAATAACACATTTATTGAAATGAAGAGCAGATTAGTGGTTGCCAGAGGTTAGGAAGGGGTTGAGGGTGGGAGGAAAGTGGGCGTGGCTATAAAAGGGGAACATGAGGGCTCTTTGTATGTCAAGGCACAGAACAGAAATGTTCTGTACCTTGACTGTCTTAATGCCAGTATCCAGATTATGATATTGTAGTATATAGTTCTGCAAGATCTTACTCTTGGGGAAAACTAGATAAAGGATACACAGATCTGTCTTTTTTTTTTTTTTTTTTTTCCTGTTGGTGAATCTACAACGATCTCAAAAAGTTTACTTAAAAAAATATATATATATTTATATATATATATAACAGCAAAGGGCTGAGGAAAACCAAGATCTTGAAGAAAATGAAAAATATAGATGATGCTGTAGTGCTATATGATCTGACGAATATCTTTGAAAAATAGTTTTGCACAAAATTAAACGTACACTTCTTTTTATACCACAATTTACCTGCTGACACATATCTTAGAAAAACTTCACAGGGGCATCAAGAAACATGGAAAGAATGTTGATAGCAGCATTGTTTGTTAATAGCAGAAACAAAACTGAGTGCATTTTCCAATGTTAATTTCCTGGTTTTACTAATTAATACGGTTATGTAAGATGTTATCATTGGGGTAGCTTGGTGCAGGATACATAGAAACTCCCTGTAGTGCTTTTTATAATCTCTATGTGAGATTATAAAAATTATTAAATACAATTATTTAAAATAAAAATTTTTTAAAAGGCCAGGCATGGTGGCTCACACCTATAATCCCAGCACTTTGGGAGGCTGATGTGGGCTGATCATGAGGTTAAGAGATTGAGACCATCCTGGCCAACATGGTGAAACCTTGGCTCTACTAAAAATACAAAAATTAGCTGGACATGGTGGTGCATGGCTGTAGTACCAGCTACTCAGGAGGCTGAGGCAGGTGAATCGCTTGAACCCGGGAGGCAAAGGTTGCAGTGAGCCAAGATGGTGCCACTACACTCCAGCCTGGTGACAGATCAACACTCCATCTCAAAAATAATAACAACACTAATAAAATAAAATAAAAATTTTAAATGACACATTTTACTGAAAATCATTTAAAAATTGGGGCATAAGTAGAATACTAACCAGCAGTGAAAATGAAAGAACTGCTGCTACATGAATTAACAAATGGATCTCAGAAACATGATGTTAATAAACATGCAAGTCAGGACAGAATACACAGTTTGATACCTTACATAAGATTCAAAAGATGCAAAACAAAACAAAGTATTGTGAAGGGCACATCCAAATGTGATAAAACTCAAAGAAAAGCCAAGATTCTGGATTTCCAAGTTGGGGAAGAGGAAGGAGAAGAAAACACCTGGGGACCTGAAAAGTACTGTAATATTTGAGCCTCCAGTTGTGTAGAGGGTAAATGGGCACTCATAGTGATGGGTTTTCTTTGTAACTTACATATACACAGCACATACTAAATAGGAAGATTTAAAGATTTTTTTAAAATGGAACACACAGATGCTATTTGGAAGAAACTCTTTCTAGTGAGGTTGCCAAGCTGAGGTTTAGTGGCAACATCTTCCACCTGGAGAAAGCCTGTCTGCTCTAGGGCAGGTTAAGGACAAGACCCAAAATCAAGAGAGACAATCAATGATAGTTGGAGGAGAGAGACTTGGAGCAGAGCAAACTTGGAGTCTCTACGGCTCTCATTTCCACAGCATGATGACTGCATTCTGAGACAATGCCAGTATCTGCTCCAGCTACATAAGCCAGCCCAGTAGTCGGAGCCGGGTTTTTGTCATTTGAACTGGCAGATTATGACAGAGTCCCCCAAGGTAAGCTGGACCATAATTAGCCCAGCTGGACCTGGTAAGCATATGGGATGACTTGGAGGCTTAGAGGTGCCCAGAGGGGCCCTGCCCCAAACTTCCCTCCCCTACTGCCATACCACCTTATATATGCAGGACCAGATGATCAGAGGAGGTACAGGACTTGCCAAGGCTTACCCAAAAGATGCTGCCTTTTCTGGCACACCTCAGCTGCTTTGTCTTGCCACCGATGATCTCCTCAGGTCAGGATGAGAAGGTACAGGGAGACAGCACCAGATGTTAGGAGAAGGTGCAGGTTGGAGGAGTGTTGCATGGCTGGGTACCTTGGCCAGTAGCTCCCTGGCCCTTCTTTGGAGGGATCACTTACAGAGACAGAACAGGCTGTGACTTGGGAGTCTCCTCTCCTTCTAGAGCTTTCTTCAGCCGTAAGCTGGATATGGTCTCCTAAGAGAGCAGGAGCCCCAAAGAAGTGGGTGGGCGTCTGGAGGGTTACCCTGAGCCTGGTGCCAGCCACAATGGGGCAGATATTCTAGGTGATGACTTACAACCCTTGACGTTCCAAACTAAAGGTGATTATGAGAATAGGAGTTATTTTGATTTGAGTTCTAGATGTTCATTGGAACATTCAACAACTATTTCTTAAACTCTGAGCTATGTCCTCAGGACGACTGCTTTTATGGAACTTGCGGGCAAGTTTTTAACAAGAAATAGAAGAGAGATTCGAGGTGAGCACACCAGGGAGACAGACAGGCTTGCCCAAGCAAGCCCCATCATTCAAAAAGTGGGTAACAAGTGTCCGAGAAATCTGGAGATGAAGGTTGTGTCTCACTCCTCTTTCTCTTTGTATAACACATGCGTGCACACACCATCGTGTTCACCAACATGCAGACTATTATCTCAAATAAATGCTCACTGAACAGCCATAAACGAACAAGACCGCGCTGTGGCAGAAGAGTAAGGGGCAGCTTTGTCAAACCTCAATTAACCAGCATGCCTTAGGCTCGGGCTGTCCTGGGAGTGTTTCTAGCGCTTGGCTTCTGCTCTTTGCTCTTACCCACTCACGGCTTGGTCTGCGTGCCTTGATGGACCAGGCGAGTAGAGGCCAAGGAGAGGTCACCCACGTGTCCTCAGATAGCTCATTGTCCAGATACACGTAATTGCCAGGGTGGGGAGTGGCGTTGTCAGCCTGGCGACCCCAGGATCAAGAAACGCAGGGCACTGCACTGTCCTGGAGATAGTGGCACTGGCATTCAGAGTGTCACCGTTCCTTCTCTCCCATGGGGCAGGTTATGATTTAGCATAAAATGATCCAAATGAACAGCTGGTTTGAGGTAGGCGCGCCCTATATTGGCAGCTCTTCTCTCGCTGGCCAGGTCTGCGGGGGCACCCACAGACCCCACAAGAGGCCGCCCAAATAAACGGTCTAGGCCTCAAGAGGGGAGGGCGGGCTAGAAGCCACACGGGGCAAGAGTCGAGCTCCATCTGCGCCAAGTACGCCAGGTTTCCCTAGGTCTGCCCGCCCTGAAGCGCCTCGCCACACCCTGGCTCTCCCCCACCTTCGTTCCTTTCCGCCCTGTCGGACGACTGCGCTGTGCATCGGTGTCTCGCGAGGTGGAGGAAGGGACTGGCATCTAGGTTTAAAAGACCAGAAACAAAAGTCCCCTGACAATTTCGTGTCATTTTCTGGATTCGAAAGAGGGGTAGAGTGAGAAAGACGCAGCGGGGCAGTGAGAGACGGTCCGACCCGGGGGCCTCTCAGGGGTGCAGCGAGGAGGTTCTCTCCTGCCCGGGTGCGGGCTCGGGTGGGCGGGCGCACGCCCCCCAGCCCCGCAGCGCCGCGGGCCCCGCATGACATCAGAGGCTGGGGAGAGCGCAGAGCGCAGGCGCCGGCAGAGGAGGGAGGCGGGAGGGGGCCGACTGGCGCGGCTCTAGAGAGCGCTCCTCCGCCCCGCGCGCGGTCCCTGCGCGCCGTCCCTGCGCCCCGCTCCGCCCGCGCCTCTCTCCCAACGCCGCGCCTCGGGCGTAAAGAGCGCGCCCCTCGCACCGCAGCCAGTGCCGCCCGCAGCAGCCCAGCCCCAGCCTTCCTCCGCCTACTCCTCCCTCTCCTCCTCCGCCGCCGCCGCCGCCGCCGGACACGCAGCCGCAGGCCGGGGCCGGGACGCAGCTGGGGAGTCAGGGACGCGCACAGCCAGCCCTTCCCCCTCCGGCTCCCGCACCGCCGGCCGCCTCCCCTCGCCCTCCTCCTCTCCCCTCCCTGCTCCTTCGCTTTTTCCTCCTCCTCTCCCGGCCCCGGCTGCCATCACCATGTCCGCAGGGGGAGATTTTGGGAATCCACTGAGAAAATTCAAGTTGGTGTTCCTAGGGGAGCAGAGCGGTAAGTACCCGGCTTAATCTCTTGGCTTGTCGCCGAGTCGACCCCCGTCGCCCAAGCGCCCACCCCATTGGGACCACCGGCCGCGGCTCGGAGAGGCCTCTCCGTGTCAGGATAGAGGAGAGGGACAGGGATGGGGAGGTCGGGGCCGGCTCGGGCGGGGTCGGACTGGGGAGGGGCCAAGGGTGAGGACGGAGGAGGTGCTGGCGCCCGGGGTGGAGGTGAGGGTGGGCTCTGGGTGGGGGGCCCGGGGTGCGGGTGCAGGTGCGGCGCCGCAGGGAGCTCGGAGGGCGGCGGCTGGCTCCGCCGCGCGGACCAGGGCGTGAAGGACCCGGGCTCGCTGGCTAGCTCACACTGCGGCACCGGCTGCGGGCGACCGCGCAGGTGGCTGGGTGCTGCCGGGGGTGGGGAGAGCGACGGGCGCCCCCCTTGGAGAACGAAGCGAAACTGGGGTCTGGCCGACCCCCACTCCGCTGCACTGGAGGGGGGTTCCCTGCGGACTCTGCCGGTAACCATGCGAAAGGGCACGTCCAGGCGCTGGGACAAATAGCCACCGGGGAGAAAAGACCGGCACCTGTCTCTGTTCCAAAGAGCGAGTGCAGGCCATGAGGGAACGGGGCGCCTACCTCCCCTATCTCACGTCCGACTGGGCACAGAAGGTTCTAGACCCGGTGCCCTTCGCCAGCGCTCGGTAGCCTCCTTGCTGTTCAGGGGTCTTGGCAATGACAGTGAAGGCTACCCCAACTCGAGGCGATTTGGGGAATGATACAGGGGCAGCTCACACCGAGAGGCTGTGAAGTCTGGCTCTGGGCAGAGAAAGGCCCAGGCGACACGCCCTGCCTTGCTTCCCAGCACTCCTCCTGAGAGCATCGGTGGATTCTTCCCACCCCCACCTCCCAGCTCACCGCCCTTCTTGGGGGAGGGGAGGTCACCGTGGCAGCCGGCCAGAGCTGGGGGAGGGGGAGACTGCTTCTCTGCTGCCTGGCTCCCTCCCCAGGAAAACATCTCTGAAAACCAGCTTGGTCCCGAGGCGGGAAGCCCAGATTGAAGAGCAGGGACCCCTCTGCCACCTGTAGGAAGGAGTGGCTTTCGGAGCATCCTTCCAGAGGCCTCTGGAATGGGGCTGCAGGGAGACAAACTGAGCTCTGGTCAGCTCTGCTCTGGGAGAAGGCTGTCCTTGCCGAGCAGGACCCCAGAAGGCTGTCCTTGTCGGGCAGGACCCCAGCTCTGGCTCTGCAGACCCTCTCTGACAAGGGGGTCCAAAAGAAAGGCAACTGTGGGAGGATTGGGTGGGCCATGAACAGTGCTGCTGTGCTGTGTGTACATGAGGGTTATGGAGGTCATGTGACTGGCCCCTGTCTGCTGATGCTCATTGCCTGAGATGGATGATTCAGAGAAGGACGTTAGAAGGTAGTGTCCAGGCCCAATATGGAGATGGGTTTGGGGGCCAGGTTGGGTGTTTCAGAAGATCCTCTCAGCCAGCCAGCATTTGCCTTGGATTCTGATTGCCTGTTTTAGTAGATCCCAGTTTTATGGAGCTGACCATTCCCTGTGTCTGGAAGGGATTTTGGTGGTATTCACATCCCAGTGCTAGTCTCACCGGGCCTGGAGCCCTGGGAGATAACCTGTGGGGATCAGGCAGCCTGGGAGTTGAATTCTTAGCTGTGTTGCCTTTAGTAAAATTTGAGGCCTCTCTGTGACTCACTTTCTGTCTCTGAAAAATGGTTGCTTGAAGACAATTCTTTTACTTCTTCATGTTTCCTTAGTGCCTCTCAAAGTGCCTGGACCCTGGTAGGTTCTCAACAAACATTTGATTATTCTAAGTCTGCAAAAGCTTTAGAAAGGACTAGGAGTTTGGTGAATAAAGTGTCTCTGGTGAATTTGAGGGAACATTCTAGGCTCCCTCAGAATTCCTGATGAACAGAGACCCCTGCTGGGCTCCACAGACCCCCTTTGCTCCCAGAAGCACAGAAATGATAGCTGAAGTCTAAGAAATGAACCCACCACCTCTCCCACATGTTCAAATGGGAAGTCTGAGCCCCAGGGAACAGGGAGGCCTTGCCCAGAGTCCCAGAGTCCCATTGTGAGTTGCTAATACTTCTGGGCTGGAGCCTCACCTCTCGTTTCCAGTCCAATATTTTTCACTAGTGTGTCATTGTGAAGTAAGATGACCTTGAATTGGGGAAGCCAACAACTGGGGAGCCTCCCCAAGAGGGAGTTGGGTTGCTTCTGTACGGCCAGGCTTATAGTTGGGGCCTGTGACTGATAGGAATGCTGAGTAGTTGGTCAGGAGCAGGGTTGTGGGCCCTTGGAACATGGTCATTAGAGAATCACTGCTGTCAGTGAGATGGCTACTGGCATCTCACCTGGTGCCTTCTGTCAGGGAGTTCCAAGGCCCCGAATAGCCTGTTTCCTGTTTCCACTTTGTTGCATCGTTAGTGGGTTGTTTTAGGTTTTACAGAGCTTTTGAGTTAGGTAGGGGACATGTGCGTCTCTAAGCCTTATGGGATGGGGAGTCACCTCCACAGCCGCTTCTTCTACCTTGCCTGCACAGTTTTGCATCTGTTGGTCATTTGTGCCAGCATTCTCTGCAGCCTGTGCAGTGGAGAGAGCCTCCTGAGGGCTGGCCCTCATGCTGGCCCTGGCTCTTTTTATATGACCTCAGAGTTCCTTTACCTTCTGTACATGGGGGACTTGGGCCCGCTGAGCTCAGCAGAATCTTTCAGAGCAACATGGGCTTGCCGATATGAGCCGAGTCCCCTGGAGATGGGCCAGGGGAAGGAGCTAGAGGGATGTGGCTTTATCTTATTTCCTGTGCCTAGCATAATGGTGACTTTTCTCTAGGCTGGTGGGCAACGGCAGTGGATTTCCAAGAAGAGCGGCGTGCATGGACCAGGGGGTGGAGCACACCCTGGGCCAGATAATCCCGGGTGGACATCAGGTCTTTAAAGATATCAGGGAACTGGTTTAAATGGGAGGCCCTTGAGAAGCCGCTCTGGAGGAAATACCTCAAGCCAGTGAAAGAGCCCCCTCCTGGCAGCTGTCCCCCTGGCCCGTGGAATATAGGCTGGGATTGTGGGGAGGGTGCTCTGGGTCCAGGGTGAGAGATTTCCTTGTGGCAGGGAGGCTGTGCAGTCCCACTGGTGCCAAATGGTTCTCTGGGCCACTGGATATGCCCTTTTGCTGATGGCAGTGGTAGGAGACATGGGGGGTGACATGCATCAGTCCCAACTGGGGCATTTGATGGCGTCCGAGAAGACAAGAAGGAGCAGGTGTCTGAGGAAGGAGAGTGGGCCTGTGGGACCCACATCTTCCTCCTAAGCTCTAATGGCATTCTGTCGGCTTTTAGGCCTCACTGGGTACATCTCAGTGTGTGTGGTGGGAAGGGAGGGTCAGGGATGTGTCTGTTATGCACTGTCTTCTGACCTCCCCTTCCCCAAGACTCTTCCAGCGAAAGCAGGAGGATTGGATGGAGATGTAAAAGCTCTGTCTGCTTTCCTAGCTGAGGCCAGCAGGCCAGTTTCTCGCTCTGACCAGCCACCTGCCTGCCCTGCCCCTGGCATTGTGCTGCTGGAGGTGCTGTCCATGTTGAGCATAATGTGAATAGCATTCCTTGGAGCTGTGCAATGAAGCGACCCTGCAGGCAGCTGCCTTTTTGTTGTTCTGTTGTTTAGTCATTTGTTCATGTATCCTTCCCTCCTGCTCCTTCTCTCTTCTGTCCTCCCTCTGTTACCTGTTTATTTATTTATTCTTTGAGCGTATTCCTGCCCTCCTGGAACTTCTAGTCCGCTGGGAACGCAGACATTTGTGGATATAATTATAGTAAAGGTCTATGAGAGTCATGATGAGAGAAGAACAGCTGCTACTGGGGCCTAGAGCAGGGGCACCTGACCCGCCTCTGGGGGCTGGTGTCAGAGGCAGCTTCCATAGGCTAGCAAGGCATGCTTCTGTAGGCAGTAGGCTGCTACTACTTTGTCTTTGGGCTGTGTGTAGAAAGTAGGTCTTGGAACGAGCCCACCCTACCCCGAGGGCCTTGCCTGTTCTGTTCTGCTTTGTAGAAAGTACATGAGGTGGAGGTTCAGGAGGACAAGGGTGACTCTCAGGTATCTGGCTTGCTGGTACCGAGTAGGGGCTGTCCCTGCACTTTCAGCCCATTCCTCTGTGGTTAAGGGTTGATGATCATTCAGTGGCCCCCACTGCCTGGAAGGCTCACTCCTCTGCCCACAGCCTCACCCATCCTGACCCCTGCCCTCCCACTAGCCACACCATGGAACACCTGCCCTCCTGCAGGGAGCCCTTCATCGGCCTGGTAGATGTGCCAGCAGCCCCTCCTAGCAAGTTTCCTCCTCCCAGCAATTTTTAGACTTACCCTGTCTTAGGTGCTCACTTCCACTCTTGCTCCCCTGGGCTACCAGCTCGCCTGGCCACACATCGTGGCATAGCTTTGGTTTTCTCTGAACATTTCTTAAATACAATCATATGCTTCACCATGGCCTGTCTTCTGTTGTCTCTGTTAGCTAAGGATTTTAAAATGTTAACTTTTTCAGGTACAAAAACCGTAATTGAATTTTAAGCGTCTTCTGAGGACTATGTCTTAGTCATCATTTCACCCCTCCCCACCTGCAGGTGGTTTGTGCTTATTAAATCTCTTGATTTGAAAATGATGAGATTATCCTCGCTGTGTGAGATTTGCTGATGGCCCATCAGTAGATTGAAAGTGAAGGAAGTTGAGGTGGCTTTGAAATAGGATTCCTATTTCACATTCCTGACACCTGCTGCTTTTCAAGCCAGATTTTTTGACCAGCAGTATCTAAGAATCTTTTCTGAAGGATTGAATCATTTAACTTTTTTTTTTTTTTTTTTTTTTTTTTTTGAGATGGAGTCTTGCTCTGTGGCCCAGACTGGAGTGCAGTGGTGCAATCTCGGCTTGCTGCAACCTCTACCTCCTGGGTTCAAGCGATTCTTGTGCCTCAGCCTCCCAAGTAGCTGGGACTACAGACCCA